GGAGGAGACCGCCTCCCAGGACCAGCGGCTGCCCAACATAGACCGAACTACGTTGGGGAGAGACAAGTCCTGGCCCACCACAAGCGTTAGTGCGTACCGATGGGAGGACCAAGCGCTGCACACCTCAAGGGTGTGCTGCGCAGTGTCCTCACCAGCACCGCAATGCTGACACAGTGGGGTGTCCTCTCTTCCTATCCGGTGCAGGTATCTTGCGAAGCAGCCGTGCCCCGTGAGAATCTGCGCCAGATGGAAGGTAAGCGCTCCGTGCCACCTTTCCCTCCAGTCCCTGAGGATAGGTCGGATGGCAGCAAGAGTACGGACTCCGGCGGGAGAAGACTCGAGTGATCGCGACCACTCGTCGTTAAGGGTCTCCTCGAATTGCCTTCGTATGGCAACCATTTCTACAGGAGCCAGTCGGTCACCACGAGCCAACGACTCTCTTCTGGCCGTGTATACCTCCGTGAGAACCCTAGCTTCCAGCTCCCACGGAGGCATACCTACGAGCACACAGGCCACATCCGTAGAAACGGTGCGATACTCCCTTATGGCTCTGTTTGCCACGATCCGTTGGGGTCTCCTAAGCAATGCTTTGTTTTGTGCATTTAAGGAGTCGACCCAGACCGGGGCACCATACAGAGCCATAGATCTCACCACACCAGCAAACAGGCGGCGGCAAATTACGTTGGGACCTCCCAGGTTAGGTAGGAGTCTACCCAGGGAGATCGCCGTTTTAACGAGTTTTGGGGACATCTGGCTGAAATGGTACTTGAAATCCCATCTGCTGTCTAGCCAGAGCCCCAGATATTTTATGTGGGAGTCTATGCGGATTCCCACCTCGTTGACCCACAACACGTATGCTGTCCCCTACTCTGACTTCGTAAACACCTTAAGGCGAGGTTATATGAAATTACCACTTTTTAAACCGATTTTATTCTAATTCTATGCTAAAGAACCATTTTATTACAATATAACATACAATCGATTGCTTGCTAAAAACAAAAAAAAAACGATAATTTGCTCGAAAGAAAAAAATCGTAAAGATAACTCAATAGGCTCTTTGGATCTATTTAACGACTAGTATATTAATCATAACTGGACAAAATAATAAACACTTACCAAAATAGGGTTGGATATATTCTTTTGATCTTATAGACAGTTATAAAAGAATATAGATAGGATATATTCTATATTCTTTTATAACTGCATTTTTTTGGTGATTGTGAAATAGACGTGTGCGCCGCGCCGCGCCGATGACCGACGCCGCCGATCATGACACGCCGCCGCTGACTGGTTAGAAAGATCGGCGTAAACGGGATGGCACGAACTGCGAGTAACATTCGTTCGCTCGGTTGCTAAACAACGTAGTGCATTCTCTGAGGCACATGTTAATTCCGTTTCGTATTCCATATCTAGTAGTAGGGGAGCCCACGATGCTAAATCCGGATTTACTCGAGCGTCATAGAGACCTATTGGGTTGCGAAGCTTAGATGATAACAAAAAAAATGTCATGTAATATATACCTTTTCTTCGGTGGGGGAAGCGGCTATAGATTTTTAAAAATGTAAAAACAAAACTGTTGTATGGACATACTCGAGCGCGTTAGATATTAATATCATCCATGTCCTACGCATTTTTAAAAACTGTCATATGATAATCTGATCGTTTCCATGACGGGGGTGGTTATACGTAAGGGTTGAAAATGAAAAAAAAAATATTGAGCGCATCAGATTTTTTGAGGGGATATCAAGTGAACCTTAAAGAAAGCTCTCATATAATAATCTGACGATTTTGATGTAACGCAAACGCGTGACCATTATTAGAATGTGCAAAAAAAATCGCTATTTTGGAATACTCAAGCGCGTCAGATTAAGATATATATGGTTCATCTTTATGCCCCAGACGTGATATCTCATAATCTGACGATTATCTGAAGGGATTTACCTAATCTGACAATTTAATTTTTTTTTTCAAATCAATTTTCAAGCTTAATTAAATAGAAAAGCACCGAAGTTAGCATGCAAATAAAAAAGTGTATGTTTTTTTATGTAAAATACTTATATTTATAATAAAATGATTATATGAAAATTTAATTTTTACAGTATTTTTCATTAATTATCACCTTCATCGCTAGAACCATCTTCCTCTTCTGGTTCAATTTCAGCCTCAGATTGCGTTTACATTAAAATAAGCAAAAATGTTGGAAATACGATGTGAACAATATCACGCCACGAACGTGTCTGTGTTATCAGCTGTCATGGCGTCATGGCAACCGAAACCAGAGTGGGGACGGAGTGAGAGAGTAATAGATAGAAAAAGAGTGAGAGAGAAATAGTGATGCGGAGAAGGAAATATAGGTATCACCTAGCTGCACGCATTAAATCTTATCGACGAATTTTTATTACTTCGGCTTGTGAAAATCGTCAGATTATATATTTTTCGTAATCCTTGAATGATTCCCTTCAAAATAAAAAAAAAATTAGCCACGCTCGAGAATGACAAAGTGCAATTTTTTTTACAACTTTGTAGCCTTCCCCCTTCTTTACGCCACTCTCAAATTGTCAGATTAGAGGTATGTACACCTTTTAGCATGTAACTAGCTCACCTTACCTTAATCTGACGCGCTCGAAATTTTCAGATGATCAATATTTTTTTACTAATCTGATCCTTCGTCCTTGCCGGGCGGTCATTTTTATAGGGCTCATACTTGGTCCAGGTACTTAACTGGGTACAAGGTATCCCCCTGTATATTAATCTGCCGCGCTTTAATAAATCCTGAAATCCCCGCTTCGGCTCCCCTACTATAGTAAAATTTTAATGAACACAAAAGTAAAGTCAATGATGCACACAAATAAACAATCGAATCTTTCTTATTTAATTACAGCTGTCAACAAAATTGTACATTTAATGTAGCACTCGTCTACAAGATGGAGTTAGCAGAAATCATAAATTCAATACTTACCCTTATATTTCTACTCTAGCTAACCTGTCTCTGTAGCTGGCCTTACTAAAACGGCTAAACGATTGCGTCTAACTGGAAATAATATCAATAAAATAATTTCTATTCATGATAACTGTTAGGTTGGGGAAAAAGTCTATTAGCATATAGTATGCATAAAGTTGTAATAAAATCTTTCTGGCTATACCATTTCTATATGGCTGATTTCGGTATCATTAAAAATTTAAAAGAAGACTTCGAATTCAAATTAGGAAAATGTAAAATAGTGTAATTTTCATTTGTTTTTTCTTACTGTCAAAATGAGTAAATCTGATGAAGAACTTAGATACATTTTAAAATTTTATTATAAAAAGGTAAAAATGCAACGTAAGCCGCGAAAAAGGTTTTTGACGTTTATGAACCTAGTGGTTTCTGTGAGAGTAGCACCAATTTGGTTTAAGCGTTTTCAGCCCGGAAATTTTGATGTTAAAGGTGTACTTCGCTCCAGTCGCTCTGTTACGAATAAAATGGATGCCATTTTTGAGAAACTGAAGCAAGATCGGTTACGACGAAGCTGAGCTCACCGAAAAAAACCTAATGAACTGTGTACTCTTTTGTGATTCTTTGTTGCGGTGTAATGAAACCGAGTAATTTTTGAAGAAGCTGATAACTGGTGATGAAAACTGGATCACGTAAGACAAGAACATGCAAAAAAAATCTTAGTCAAAGGTCGGTCAGACTTTACAGACTATGGCGAAACCCGGGTTAACTGGCAAAATGCTGTTTATATGGTGGGAATAGAAGGGCATTATTCATTATGAGCTGTTACCGCCAGGCAAAACCATCGATTCTGAACTGTACTGTGAACAACTGATGAGATTAAAGCCAGAAGTTGAGAGAAAGCGGTCAGAATTAATCAATAGAAGGGAGGTGGTTTTTCATTAAATTAAGAAAGTTTGGCTGGGAGGTGTTAATGCATCCGCCATATAGTCCTGACCTTGCATCTTCAGATTTCTACCTATTTAGGTCTCTTCAGAATTCTTTAGGCATTGCCAGGTTAACATCACGCAAGAATTGTCAAAACAACTTGTCGCGGTTTCTTGATTAGAAGCCCTAAAATTTCTAAAGATTTTTCATGTCCCTACCTACAAGATGGCAAAAAGCTATCGAACAAAATAGTACCTACATACTTTAGTTAAATTTAAGTAAACTTTATTAAAAATGTTAAGAATTATATTCTTAATGAAAAATGCTTAAAAAATCCACTTTGTCCCCGGCATTCTCGGATGGGACTTCAACCCATAAACTTGGACCCATGGATTGCTAAAAAATATTTTTTTATATCATTATGACTACGTTACATAATGTAGAAGAGTATAGTTGTGCCATATTTGAACGTTACTTAAAAGCTCTTTTATGTGTTATGTCAGTAAAGACATTCTGAATTGTTTAACTTTTTATTTTCCATCATTTAATATAACGACGCCGTTTACGCCGCCATTTACGCCGCCGCCACTGAATTTTTAGCTCCACGCCGCCGCCGAAGACTTCGGCATCGGCGCACATGCCTATTGTGAAATCAAGCGAGCGTGTTAAGGTGGCTAGACCCACACCAATTTCCTTCGTCGGCAGCAGAAGCTACTCTCGATAAATATTTAGATATAAGCATTTATTATTATATAAATACTAGTGGATAAGATAAATAGATTTATTATCAGTTAGTGGTTACTCTGTCAGTTTCACAAGATAAATTATATTATTAATTAAAACCGGTGTCCACTACTTAATTAGCGCGTCTTTACTCTCGATGTGTATTTTTTTGCGTATTTCTATGGAAACGTAAGCGGGGTACAAGAGCGCCTTAAGTTGCAATTTATCTTTCTATATAAAACCAAACACATAGACAATCTACCCAGCATAGTCCTTGGAGGCCGAAACATCAAACACGTAATATTATCGGAGAAACCTTAACTGAAGACTTTGCGGACTAGATTTTATTTGATGATCTAGTTTAAGTCCATGTTTGCATTTGGATAATATATAAACTCCTTTAATACAAAAAGAAATATGTATACCTTTAATTACAATAATCTCGCCAAGACAATCAAAAATAAACTAATTAAGATCTAATCGGTAAGATATCTTTATTTAATATATTTTTCATTTGTAATTCGTCGCAAAATTGTTTTTAGTGGTCGTCCATAATGGCAGCGATATTAGCTTTCGTTTTATTAGTCAGTGTTTTATCCGTATCAGGTAAATTAATTAATTATTTTACTAAGTCATCATTATTTCTTTGTCCTTTTCTAAATTTGCAATCGCCGCAATGTATATTCTTCTTCCATTCTTCACGATCAAGCGTCATGTCAGAATAATGAATTTCTTACACATATTAAGACACGCGGTAGAGGGTCAAGCCAAGTTCACGCGAAGATCTGGCGGGCAGCACCATATGTAATATTACTCAAACCATTTTTAGACACTACACTACAGGATGGCAAGTCGACATAATGCCACGGGCCCTAGCTGGAAGGGACCCCCAGTCAGAGGAGACTCCTTACTCCTGACATTCATTATGACACAGTTATTGAAACCAATTAGAATATCCGATGGATTTGCGATGCAAACTTTTTGTCACTGATATTCAACACCATTTCTTTTGTATTATTTATCTTTCGTAATTTGAAATTTTGACTAATCAAATATGTAATATTATCGGAGAACCGTGAGAGAGCCACGCTTCAGCATGAATGGGCCGGCACGACCGGAGTGATACCACGGCCTCACAGAAAACCGACGTGAAGCAATGCTTGCATTGTGTTTCGTCGTGTGAGTGAGGGTACCGGAGGCCCAACCCCTCCCTATTCCCTTCCCTCTACCCCTCAACCCTTCCCTCCCTATGATCATATTCGTCCCTCAAAGGCCGGCAGCGCGCTTGTAGCCCCTCTGGTGTTGCAAGTGTCCATGGGCGACGGTAATCACTTACCATTAGGTGATCCATCTGCTCGTCTGCCGCCTATCACATAAAAAAAAATGCTCTTTATGAATGTCAGTTCTTCTGTTGTGAACATGTAAATCGTAGAAATTTAAAAATATAAATATTATAATTATGAAGTTTTGTGTCTAAAATAAATAGAATATATTAAATTATATCCTGTAATAGCATCCAAGTTATTATTAAGAAACCCAAAAAGGGTTCATTTTCTTTACCCATTATTACCATAAATAATCTTAAGCTAGTCAGCCTTTCTTTAATTCGCCCAAGCATCGGACCCGTCACAAGCTTAGACACATTGACTTGGCTTTCACTTTTCACATTTATTCTTTTGATGAGAATATCTCTTACAAGATCTATCCATATTATCTATGGTCTTTCTCTCCTTACATTTCAAAAAAAGGTGTTTTATAAATCTGTGGCACCGTAGCTCTTGAGTAGCTCGGTGGCGTAGTGGATAAGCGCCGCGGTCCGCGATCGTAGTCGTTAAGCAACTTTCGCAACGGTCGGTCACGGGATGGGTGACCAAAAAAATATTATCTCGAGCTACTCCGTGCTTCGGAAGGCACGTTAAGCCGCTGGTCCCGGCTGCATTTGCCGTCGTTAATACCCTCCAATCCGCACTGGGCCAACGTGGAGGGTCATGGCCTATCCTCCTTAACCATCCATAAGGAAGGCCTGAGCCCCTGCAGTGGGGACGTAAAAGGGCTGGTGATGATGATGATGACCGTAGCTCTTGAAGTAATGAACCGATTTGAGTGCAGTTTTTTTTATTCGAAAGCCTTGTTTATTGTTTATTATTATTTATGTTTTATGAAAATCGGTCTAGCAGTTTAGGAGTTACAGACACTTTATTAAAATAAAATGTTTATTTTAAATCATGCACTGTCCATAATACAATTTTCACAATGACAATATTATAGCGGCGAATCAACCATATCATTGAACGTATATGTGATAATGATTTAAGTAAAAAAAACTGACAAGTGCGAATAGGACTCGCGCAAGGTTTTAGTGCCGGAAACGAGCAAAAAAAAACACGCTTGAGTTCGGAATCCCCATTAAATACTCAATTCCGCTCCAAACTCCACTGGCTCTCTATTCGCCGGCGCAGGGACTTGCACACTCTAACGGTTCTTTAATCTAAACTTTTCCTGCCATTTACCCCACCTTATCTCAAGCAATGCTTCTCTTTTCACCACTCCTCATCCCATTTTTCATTGCGATCCTCTTCCAATCTTACCCTCTAGTTTCCTCACCACACAACTGACTTCTTCTCTTATTCCTTCTCTGTGCACGCTGTCCGACTGTGGAACTCTTTACCAGAAACCATCAGGAAAGCTCGCCCGCTGAAATCATTTTTCGATCAAGTTAAACGCCATTTCCTTTCCAGATCATGAATTGTTATCATAACTTTAAATTTTTTTTTCTTTCTATATATCCATTATACTTCCTTTATATTCCTCATTTAAGATGTATTTCTTCTACATGTTGCACCCATTACCCCATATTATTTATCTGTTTTCCTCCATAGGTTGCCTGGAAAATATTGCTATGTAGCAATAAGGCCGCCTTTTTGTATACTGTTTTTCTTTTCTCAAACTGTGTAATTTGTTATTTGTCTTGTGTGTGCGATAAAATATATAATTATTATTATTAAATAATTATTTTATTCTGCTTTCAGTATTTGTTGTTTTATCTGTGAAATCACGGTTCATGAGCTACATCCTGATAGACAGACGTATTTCAAATATATCTTTTTTTTAAATACATTTAATAAGTATAGTTATGCACCCATATAAATAGATAAAGACATCCACCACCAGCCCTTTTACGTCCCCACTGCAGGGGCTCAGGCCTTCCTTATGGATGGTTAAGGAGGATGGGCCATGACCCTCCACGCTGGCCCAATGCGGATTGGAGGGCATTGACGACTGCAAACGCAGCCGGGACCAACGGCTTAACGTGCCTTCCGAAGCACGGAGTAGCTCGAGATAATAATTTTCTTGGTCAGCCATCCCGTGACCGACCCTTGCGAAAGTTGCTTAACGACTACGATCGCGGGCCGCGGCGCTTATCCACTACGCCACCGAGCTACTCGATAATAAGATAAAGACATATATTCAATTTATTTAATCTCGACGTAATTCAAAAATTAATTGATTAATAAAAAAATATTTTATCGGTAATCTACTTATTGATAAAGACATTTCTGATAGCACTTCAAGAATTTAAATCGTTGTGAGTCTTAAAATTTATCGGCCACCTGCAAATTATAATTTCATCAAATTATTAGATAAATCACGAAGTAAGATTATAGAATTTGTTGATAATTTTTGCGAATATTTGGAATTCGGAACTCGATAGCGCTGTGTTCTACGATACGGTTGTGAAGCAACTTTCACAATGGCCGGTTATGGGATGGGTGACCGAAAATTTATAACCTCGAGCTCATTTCTTCGGAAAGCACGCCAAGCTGTTGGTCTCGGCTGCATCCGCATTTATACCCACCAATTCACGCTGGGCCACGTGGTGGGTCATGGCCCACTCTCCATATCCGATTTGATTCCATACCCCAATGTGCAAATTAATAAGCTGGCGATGTTGATTATGACAATTCCTTCTAATAACGCCAGTATATCGTAAATAAAACCATACAACAATATTCTTTGTACTGAGAAGAGCTGGCATGGAATTCAAAGTGAACTTGCCGGAGAGCCTCAACAAAAAAACGGTCACCCATCCTACGATCGGCCGTACAGAAGTTGCTTACAGCCCAAACCACTGAACAGATCGGGCTGAAATTTGGCATGCAGATAGATGTTATGACGTAGGCATCCGCTAAGAAAGGATTTTGATCAACTCTACCCCCAAGGGGATAAAATAGGGGATAAAAGTGTGTATGAAACTTTGTCAATTTTAAACCGATCGGGCTGAGATTCTGCATGCATAAAGCTACTATGACTTAGGCATCTCCTAACAAAGGATTTTGATCAATTCTACCCCCAAGGGGATAAAATAGGTGATAATACTTTATTTTAGGTATTTCAGACGATATAATGAATAAATATTCGGTAGAAATGCTACTCAAAGTAACTTTACCACGCGGACGAAGTCGCGGGCAAAAGCTTGTACATAATATAAATAGAAAAAACCTGGACACAGAACAGACATAATTGTTAATCACAAGTATGTTTGTCCTAGGTGGAGATCGAACCCACAAATATATATTCATAGAGACTTTGAATGGCATTTCAGGATTCCCCAAGCCAGATGCTGTTCTGTCGAAACTGGACGACGGTCCCCGTTACCAGTACGTAGAAGACACTGACGGTAATCTCCATCTAGCGGACACGTGGATGACAGCCGCCGACTTCGCTGATGTCGTCAGATTCGAACCGGACCGTCAGATCGTCTACCACCTATTCACTAGGTATTACGAGCTAGGGTCCTGGATAATAAGTCGAGGTCTAGAGTAATGGTGTGCGGACTTGATTACCATTAATCGATTAATCGATTTTCCAATAATCCGTTGCTATCGATTATGATTTCCTAATCGACGATTAAACATTGATTATTTCTTAAAACGTTAGCAATAAGAATAGTTTAAATCGTTAGTATAGTACCTACTTACTTTACTTCGATGGCTCAGCAACCCATAGCTGATCACGATCGGATTGGTGGGTATTAACTACTGCAAATGCGCCCGGGACTAACGGCTAACGTGCCTTCTGGAGTACAGAGGTGCTCGATATAATAATTTTTCAGTCACCCATCCAGTGACCGACCCTTGCGATTGTTGCTTAACAACAGCGATGTCAGGGCACAGCACTTATCCACCATACTAATGAGCTACACAATCTTAGGACAAAGCCTACGATTGCCGTTAAAAATTGCTACCATATCAAAAAGGCCACCTTTTGTCCATATGTAGTCTTATCTTAGTGCAAAATTCAAATTCATTTATTTATCAAATTTATTAGTATACAAATATATGCAAGGGTATAATAGCCATTTAAAGAATATAAATTCTTTTATATTCTTGAATTCCCGAGCGCCTGCAATAGGCACGTAAAAGGAGCTGATGATGAATTGATTCTTTACAGGGCAAACCCGACAGTCAGCCAGCCGCTTCTCCCCGGAAACACAGGTCTGCTAGGCATCACTAACTATGACCGCAATAGAAGAACAGTTGTGCTCTTACATGGATGGAGGGTCGGAGCTACCGCTGCTATGAACACATTACTTGTGCCAGGTCAGTTCTTAGGTCTATGTAAAGTCTACGATAGGGATACCCGATGCAACGATACGGGTAAGTAATCTATCGATACTTTTCATTCGATACGTACGTACTTTTGGAATAGATACTTTAGAACTGAGCAACAAAACGCACGTTGAGAATGACAATGTCACTAACCAAGAACGACGTATTCTTTACTTTTGGCATCATTTTTATTTGTTAAGTATAAACTTTAAAATGCAAAGATCCCTGTGAACGTAGCTCGCATAGAAACTGCAAGATGGCGTAGATATGTGGTTTAGAGGGGCGGTTTACAATTTCTTGAACTTTAAACGCTCATTACTCAAAATCGCATTTTTTGCTCTATCGTTCTCAACTCGCGTGCATAAGACTGTTTACTCAGTGGTAAGGTGTCTAGAATCGGTCTCATAAAAAATTCCCACAGGCGCGGCGTCCCTGGCGTATAACGATAAGCATTGCTAACGTACTTAGAGATCTATCTAGCCTCTCTAAAGCCAACAAAATTTGAAAGCAAACGCTAACTACATGCATCGCTATCCCTGGACCTGTTTCTTCCGTAAAGAGAAATATCAAGTCTTCTCTTAAAATCTATATTAAATAACGGCTATGGTAAGGCATATTAAAACTATTCGTTACAAGTAAGTAACGATACATTTCTTTCGATACCGAGTAGGTATCGAACCTCAAAATCGACACGGTATCGAGGAAAATATCGATACGTAGGTGATATCTGGTCGTCGATGTTAGAAGACAAAATATCGAAACATCAACGTCAGCTGGGGCACATAATTTAAATTTGATCATGTAACGTCATACATCGACGGAAATCTATGGACGCTTCTTATTTTTTTATTATAATTTATTAAAATGTATGTCTCCTTTTATCAAATAATCAATCTCACGTTTAATTTTTAGAAAATGATTTTTATTTGGCAAACATAAGCATAGCCTTAAAATGAAATTAGTTTAAAAAGTGATTATTTCGTATAACCTCGTCATGCTGTCTCCGCGAGGTCCATCTCACATTCAGCATTAAACCTGGACCGTGTGAAGACCGGCGTGGTAAAAACCATCGGAGCCTACACCGCCAGAATTGGCAGATATGTTTTTTCCCAGCTTTGTAAATGGTACGCCATCCGATTTTTTATCCCAGCGTTTTAAAAAATAGGAATATCTTGAATTACATGGCGCTAGCTAAAACAGCCGTATAATCAAACGGCTATCCTAATTGAAATGTGCCATTCAATATAATTTTCTTATTGAAGGGTAATATAACGATGTCTCATTAGAGGCCGTCTATCACGTGAGGCGCGAAAGGAGGGAGGGGGTTCCTCATAAATCACAAAATATCACAAAAAAGGATGGGGTGTAGTAATATATCACGTGTATTTATTTGTTCCTAAAACGTCCGATTACTAAACCGAAAAGTGGCGTCAAAAATTAAGATTTCTTTGTGGGTACTAAAAAACAGGGGTCGGAAACCGGTATATTTTTCGAAACGTCTTCATCTTAAATACCTAAAAAACACTTTGTTTCGGTTTCGTTCGAACAGAACGATATAAAAAACGATTTTGGAAAAAAACAGAATTATATTGTTTTCGGTTAATGAAACGTTTTTAACCATTTATTCTGCGTTTTTTTGCATCGCATACTGTAAATAACGTAATAAAATAAATGTACGCCGCCCTTACAGCCCGCGCGGCACCGTCTTGCGGATTAAACCGGTTTTTTAAAGCGTTCTCATTTCGTTTTCGTTTCGAACGCAATCTTGCCCAAAGAACCATAAGAAACGTTTTAAAAACGTTATTTTGAATAACGTTTCCGAGCCCTGCTAAAAAATACTCGTGATTTGGGAGGACGGGAGGGGAGTCTTAAACCTTGCCATGTCACCAATGGGATGTACCTTACCACCCTTACGTTTATACCACAGAATAGATGGTTAATCCCATTCTCGATATTCGATTCGACGATGAATATAATTATATCGGTATTGATTGTAAGGGATGAATGAAAGAGTGTGGACTGTGACTATAGGTTTATAAGATACAAGGAGAACAGCTCGACAATGATAGATGCGCGCGGTGTCTCGTGCGGTCTTGGAGCGAGAGTGAGGTTGTCGCGTCCCTCGGCTGGTGCCAAGCCAGCTCCTCCTCTTCACCTCATGCCCCGGGCTCGCCTGTGTGCGCGCGGGTAGTATTGTTACATCCATAGATGGTCCTTCGAGCCGTATTAATTTTATTTCCCTCTTTCTAGCGTTCCTGTCAGCTGAAAATGTGAATATCATCGTTGTGGATTGGAGTACAGGCGCAGGCGCTATCAATTATTATACGGCTGTCGCCAATACCCTTACTGCTGGTAAGATTCTTTCATATTTTATCTTTGTAATTATATAATTAACATTTCGTTTTCATAACATTTCGTTTAAAAAAATATATATTTATTCAGTCTAGGCTGTTACAAGCACTTGTGAAAGTCGAGACATCGGTTCGTAAATCTACGCTGGGAGACCTTGTACCGAGAAGAACCGGCAAGAAACTCGGCAAGGGCTGCTTTTTTCTCCCTGTTTTATTTCATACAGAGCGTCAAGATTGAAAAATGAGTTCATTAAAATATGAAGTCACTTTCCATTACAATATTTTATAAGATGTAAAAGTAAAACACTAATTATATATAAATAAAAGTAAAACATTACATATTTAATTTTGTTGTTGTAGTGTATACCTTGTCCCATAAATGTTGATAGAACCTTCTTTAACCTGCATGACGGCAAAACAAGGTTATTTTTATTTCTAGTATTACAATTGTGTACATCACTTTAATCCCAGTTACCCAAACTATCTCTGAGATCGCTTCGATTTTCTCCAATCCGCAAATTCATATGCATTGCAATCATCAGAGAACCTGACTGATTGGTTCCTGAAATCAAACTAGATGTCGCTACGGTACGTTCTTGATTTCTCCATGACAACCTTTCCGGTTTTCTTTCATTTTTAAAAGTAAATTAGTTTTCAAAACTCAATAAACAACTCATATTTTAATTGTATTTTTTCGTATTTGTATTGATATCTAAGTTTCGAACTTTGCAAATTTCAGTTTTTTAATATGTTAGTTAAAAGGAACGGAAATAACTGTTTCTAGTCCTTGCGTTTTCTGCAAAAATCAACTTTTGCTAGAGTCGCCATCTAGTGGAGGTGCTTTTTAGTGTATTCGTTTTTTTTTAAATACTTTCTCATTGTTATGCAAATTCAGTAAGTTTCATTTATGTTTGTTTCTCTAAATCAATCGTTTTTCTTAAGGCATGAGTTGGCGCATTTCTATTTGATTCGATTCCGACCATGAATGAAGGCCTGAGCTCCAGCAGTTATATTAAGAAGCTGATGATAATAAAACTATTTCTTTGATTCCAGCTCAAAGCATCGCTCGTTTCATAAACTGGCTGAATGAGATGACAGGTGCTTCACCTACGCACTATCACGTGATCGGCCACAGTCTCGGTGGTCACCAGGCTGGCATGATCGGACGTTACGTGAACGGAAAGATCGCGTATATAACTGGTAAATATCGACGTTGGAAAACAAACACGTAGTAACCCGCAAAACCAAAAGTATTCTTCAGAGTACAAATCTTTTTTTTTTTCGTAAAATTATTCCTATAAACCTCCATGGTAACAAATAAGGCGTTCCTTAGTTAATTTACACAGAAAAAAGTTTTTTTTTTGGAAATCTATAAACATTTTCCACTCTAAATATCCATTTTGGTTTTGCAGGTTAGTACGTTGTGTGCGTGCGTGTGTGTGTGTGAATTAATTCACATTATATATTAATATGTATAAAGTATACTTTTGCTCAAATGCACTGCCCTAATTAATTCTCCGTATCTAATTTTCTTTCTGCGGTTGTCTGGAAGAGATCGCTTTTAAGCTCTAATGGGAGTTATGACATTTACAAAAACCATGTCATTACCAGATCAAATACATTATAAATAGAGAGAGAGAAAAAAACTATGGTCTTATAATGATAACATGATAATTTAATAATTTTTGATATATAATGAGTTAAAAAAGTAATCACCTATCCAGTTGCTGGATCATCTCAAGTCCAAGCATTCTTATCTGTTATATAATCGGACACCTTATAATAAGCTTTTTTAACAACAAGTTCTTGTTACTTACACAGCACTAGAAGCAGCATTGCCCGGTTTCGTAAATAATGCAGACCGATTCCGACCTGACGATGGTGCTTACACAGAAGTTATTCATACCAACTCCGGTGTATTTGGCTTCTCTACTACACTGGGACATGTGGACTTCTATCCAAATGGTGGTTCCAATATGCCTGGGTGTAATAGCAGCGAATGCGACCACGCAAGGTGTGTTGATTGCTTTCTTTACTGTGTCCTCAGAACCAGAGACTCCAGTAAAAGATTTATAAATAGAAAATATAAACAAGAATTATATTTTTTAATACCTAGTTGGTATTATAACAATATAGATTTTCATGTAAATATTTTCTCTCTTTTAAAGTGTTAAATTAAAGCAACCTTATGTTATTATTAATTTATAAAGTAAAAAATGATTTTTTAATTATTACCTACCAGGGATTTGTGAATTGCATCCGTAATTGCGGAGTTTCCGCATCAATTTGAATCATAATTCGCATTTATCAATGCGGATGTGGATGTAGATGTAGTGGAGGTCATGATAGGAATGCAGTAGGATTGGACCAGCGAGTGAGCAGAGCCAAGTCAAGATCCAACGCGTATTATGATTTTTTATAATATTTATTCTGGGTAACGCAAAAAAAAAAACCAAACAAATTTTATGTAACCTTTTTTTATGTAATAGAATATTTTTCTGTACGTCAAATGTTGTAAAATGAACATTATCAGCTTTAATTGCTAAACATTTTGTATTAGAAAATCCCTCAAAATATTAGCTCTTATTTCATTTTGGCATACAGAAAAAAGTCGCTAGATTTACATCCACATCTGCAGATGTAAGCCCTGATAAATCTGCATCTGCAATTCTCAAATTTGGGCATCTGCAACGTTCTTAATACGTAATATATCGTGGCCAGGGCATGCAGTCTCGATATTTCTAGCGATCGCAGAGTTCACTGACCGAGTCGTGAACACTCGATCGCAAGGATACTAACAATTATCGCTATTTTCACAATTGCATTCGGTACGTGCCAAACAAATTACAATATCCTCCCACCAGAAAAACCTTCGCTCCAGTGGTAGTCTGATCCTTCAAACACCTCACCATTCCAGCTACGTATCCAGCTCTTTCACTGTGACTGCCATCCGACTATGGAATGCATTACCATTTGACGTTCATAACGCCCCAAACAAGTTTGCATTTAAGTCTGCAGCTTGTAACCACTATTTCCTGTCTACTTCCATTTCATAATCAGACACCACCATTTCAGTACTCGTTATATCTTATAATGTATATGTATATATAATGTATGTATATTAATATTATGTATATATGCGTATATGTTTTGTATGTATATATGGTAATGCTTAAAGTTACGATTTTATGTACCGTTTTTAATCTTTACCGCCTACTACTGTTCTGTACAATCTAACTGGTTGACTGGGAGAGAATGCCTCTATGGCATTAAGTCCGCCATTTGTCCTTAGGCAATAAAGAATAAATAAATAAATAAAAATAAAATATCAGTAATCGTTAAGTTAATTAAATAATCGTTAACTTACGATCGATAAGATTCCGATCGCAAACTCTGTCGAGACTGCAGCCCTAGATCGTAGAAAATGAACATTACCTAAAACGGCAGTTTTTTAAATGAAATGGTAATTTTCATGAAATGGCCACCTAAACAATATCATCATCAGCCCATATTCGTCCACTGCTGGACATAGGCCTCCCCAATTGCACGCCATCTATTTCGATTTTCGGCTGTTCGCATCCAGCTCCTACCAGCCATCTTGCGCAAATCATCGCTCCACCGCGCCTGAGGACGTCCTACACTACGTTTGCCGAGACGCGGTCTCCACTCAAGAACTCGTTTACCCCAACGGTTATCGGTTCTGCGGCTAATATGGCCAGCCCACTGCCACTTCAGCTTGCTAATCCGGTGGGCTATGTCGATAACCTTGGTTCTCTGCCGGATCACCTCATGTTTGATTCGATCCCGCAGAGAAACGCCGAGCATAGCCCTTTCCATAGCGCGCTGAGCGACCTTCAACTTGTGGACCAGCCGTGCCGTCAGTGTCCACGTTTCGGCTCCGTATGTCATAACGGGTAGGACGCACTGATTAATGACTTTTGTCTTTAGGCACTGCGGGATCGACGATGTAAAGACTCGACGTAGTTTCCCAAACGCTGCCCAACCTAGCCGAACTCTTCTATTTACCTCGCTCTCGAAGTTGTTTCTACCTAACTGCAATGTTTGCCCGAGGTATACATATTTTGGAACAATTCCGAGAACGGCACCGCATACTGCAATCGGTTCCGGTAGTACGTGTTCGTTGAACATGACCTTGGTTTTATCCAAGTTCATCCGTAGGCCGATGCGCATAGAAGAGTCAGCCAGGTCATTCAGCATCTGTTGTAGGTCCTGCAGATTTTCTGCCATGATGACGATGTCGTCAGCAAATCTCAAGTGAGAGATGTACTCGCCATTGATGTTGATGCCACGTCCTTTCCAGTTCAGCGTCTTAAACATATCCTCCATTGCATTAGTAAACAATTTCGGAGACATAACGTCTCCTTGTCTCACTCCTCGATGCAACGGTATAGGACTTGTTTGCTGATTCTGTACTTGGACGGTCATGGTGGCGGCCTCATAAATACATTTTATCACTTGGATGTATCGCCAATCGACTTGGCATCGCTGCAGGGACTCCAGAACGGACCAGATCTCAATCGAGTCAAAGGCCTTCTCATAGTACACAAATGCTAGACACAGGGGCTGATTATACTCTTCAGTCTTCTGTATAATCTGCCGCACTGTGTGGATGTGGTCTATGGTGCCGTATCCACTCCGAAACCCAGCCTGCTCCGGTGGTTGGAATTCGTCAAGTCTTTGCGCAAGACGGTTCGTGACTACTCTAGAAAACAGCTTATAGACGTGGCTTAGAAGGGAAATGGGTCGATAGTTCTTCAGCAGGGTTTTGTCTCCCTTTTTGAAGAACAGGACGACAACACTCCTACTCCACGCCTGCGGAGGTCTCCCTTCAAAGAGGACAGCATTAAAAAGCTTTTGGAGCTCCTTCAGTACTGGTTTACCTCCTGCTTTTAATAATTCAGTTGTAATGCCATCCTCTCCAGGGGCTTTTCCATTTTTAAGCTGTCTCAGAGCGATCTCGATTTCGCCAATGCTGACTTCTGGCAGATCTTCGGTGTAGTGGCGTGTTAATGTGGCTCTAGAATCCTCATTTCCGGGATCAGGTCGAGATGCATGCGAAGCGTATAACCGGGCATAGAAATTTTCCACCTCCGAGAGGACCGCTGGCTTCGAAGCAACGACTTCCCCGCTTGCTGTGGTCAACTTCGTCAAGTGGCTTCTTCCAAGAGATTGTACGAATACTTTTGACCCCCTGTTTTGCTCGATCGCTCTTTCTATAGCGTGAGTGTTGGAGCACCGGAGGTCATATCGTACGCGTTTGCTGATCTCCTGGTTTTGTGCACGTTTTCCTGACGAAGTGACAGGTGGGTTTTCACGTCGTTCCTTCATTAGCCCCAAAGTTCTATCGGAGAGCTTAGACTTCCCGCCCTTACGCTGCATGCTACAAAATTTCGTACCTTCTTCCCTGAGTATTCGAACCACATTTTCAAGGTTCTCGTCAACGTCAATTGTGGTTTCCATGGCAGCGAATCGGTTCTCAAGATTTGACTGAAACGTTTCAGATTCCATCATGGTTTGGAGAGGAGTAGGTCGGAGCCTGGCCTTCATCAAGCGGACACGTTCAGCTTTGAAGTTGATATTCAGAGAGCCTCGGACAAGTCGGTGATCGCTGCCGGTGTTAAACCTATTGATCACGGAGACATCTCTGAATACGTGCTTTTTGTCCGTTATAATGAAGTCGATCTCATTTTTTGTCACATTGTCGGGGCTTTGCCACGTCCACTTCCTTTGGGGCTGTTTCTTAAAGAACGAGTTCATAAGGAAGAGCCCCTCCCGTTCGAGGAAGTTAACGAGCATTTGCCCCCTATCATTCCTGCTTCCAAATCCATGGCATCCTACTACCGATTCGCCGCAATTTTGTACTCCCACTTTAGCGTTAAAGTCCCCATAACAACGCTGTAGTGGGTCTTAGTAGTGAAGTGGAGTGCCCTCGATATATCATCGTACATATTCTCCACTTCATCGTCCGAGTGTGTCGAGGTCGGTGCGTACACTTGAACAACCTTGAGGCTATACCTCTTAGTGAGCTTTACAATCAGGTACGCCACCCTGTTCGACACACTGGAAATTTCTACAACGTTGTCAGAAAGGGACTTATTGACAAGAAACCCAACGCCACCTTGGGATTGTTGGTCTCCCTCGCGGAAGTACATTAGGTGGCCTGATTCGAGGGTTATGGTATCCTCCCCCTCTCTTCGGACTTCACATAATCCCAATATGTGCCACCTAATCTTTCCAAGCTCCACCTCAAGTTGAGCCAGATGCGAGTCAAGCCGTAGCGTGCGTCCGTTGTACGTCGCCAGGATCAGTCGGTTGTGGTGGCCTCCCGTAGCCCGGAGATTCTTAGCACCCCCTGCCTCGCCGTTACCATGGTCGCCACCATGACCAGGAATAGCGAGGCCGCCGGGAACTAGGGGCCGTGGCCTTTTGTGCCTTTTCATTTGGGGGATATGCCCATAATCGCCACGCTGGGCAAGTGGGTTGGCGATCGCAGTATGGTCCAGTTCTGTGGCCCGCACAAGAAGACACTGCTGCCCATCTCCTTGGGTTAAATTTCCCTTAGTCGCCTCTTACGACACCCACGGGATGAAAAGGGGTAGTACAATTCTATACCGGTACTACACGGCAAACAATATCAGTAATCATTAATTAAATAATCGTTAACTTACGATCGATAAGATTCCGATCGCAAACTCTGTCGAGACTGCAGCCCTAGATCGTAGAAAATGAACATTTCCTAAGCGGCCGGCCGTTTCTTAAATGGTAATTTTTCATGAAATGGCCACCTAAAACTAATCATATCGTTCAACTTTTAATGATATGGCAATTCACGTTTGGCCATAATGTACAATATCCAAAAAGAGATCTAACAATTTGCTGAAACTACTTGTTTGTGCATTAGCGTTACATGATTCTGTAGTCTGAAAAAAAATAACCGCGAATTTTTTACAGGTCTTATTTCTACATGGCCGAGTCCTTAATCACTGGAGGATTTACCGGCCGTAGATGTGGCTCATTCCTTTTGGCTACTACTGGAAACTGCTTTTTACCAGGAACTCTCAGAATGGGTGGTTTAGTTCCGAAAACTGGGTAAGATTTTGTTTAACTTTAAAACCTAAGACTGTTCTAAGTTCCAGACACATGCACGAGTAATCATATCGTTCAACTTTGTATATATCTCTTAATGATATAATGTATATAATAATGATATAATGAATACGAGTATAATGTATAATGTTATATATCTTAATTAAGAACAATCTAGAACCCTATTACTTATTCTAATCCTACAAATAAATTTCGATATTTCTGATGAAGTTAACTAGTTAAATCGATGCACTCAGCTACTCAGCTGATCGAAAGTCAGCCTGTTAATTGGCGCCATTCAATTAAACGGCTAGCTGCCCATTTGGTAGGCTGATTATACCACTTGACTGCGACATATACCTTATGTGTGTACTTCTCAGTTGTATCTCGATATTGATTAAGATTTTTGTGAAGTCGGTTTAATTTATTTTAAAAATTGTTTTGTATTAATGCTTTTACGTGGGCGAAATTGGGAAAAATGTTTATAAGGTTCCTTACCAAAGGGTAAAACGGAACCCCTATTACTAAAACTGCTGTGCCTGTCTGCCTGTCACCAGGCTGCACCTCATGAACCGTGATAGTTTGAAATCTTCTCAGAGCATGTATTTCTAAAAACCAGAATAGAATAAATATTTGGAGGGACTCCTATACAACAATTGTGATTATTTTTTGCTCTATTAGCCGTACGGAATCCTATTTCCGCGAGACCAACTCCCACTTGACCTGTATTCTATTATAATGTTATAATACCGCTATTTAGATAAACGAGGAGTCATAAAATTCTTCTTCCCTTAGAATGATGGAAAACCTTACAATAATTTATTTTTAAAAATATTCTCTTATTGTTTCAGACAAACCGGAGTATTCCATTTAACTACCAATGCGGAGCCACCATTCTCCCAAGGATAATCTAAATACATTTTTATATGTAAAATAAAAAAGTAATCCACAATATTACAAAAAGGATTTATTGGATTTAAATAAATACTAAATCGCACTGAGAAGTTTTATTATATATTTTTAATCACAGAAAAAATGCAGTTATAGAAAAATATTGTGATCAAAAGAATATATCACAACTTATTTTGTACATAATACTAACACATTAAATTAAAACTACTTATCTAAACTATTTCTTAAAATAATAACTATACTAAATAAAAAATGTCTCCCAGATCATTGCCTACAGGTAAGGTACCCAGAAGGCTGCGAGCGTTACCTCTTTGAATAGCTAAACTAATAGGCTTGTGTCCTACAAGTGAAAATACAGGTTTTTGTTATATCTTCGAAAAATATGAACCATTATAACTTATAAATGTTTAACAAAAGAAACTTTAAGTCACTGATTTGGAAAATATTACGCTTTGAAAACTTGAAAAAAGTAGAGAAAATCTACTACAAAAATTTGCTAAAATACATAAGGCATTAAATTAGATATAAAAAATGTTACAACTTTCATTATAACAGCTATAAACATAAACGCACAAATAATAAAGATATTACAAAAATGTTCCAGACGCCCTTACATTTTTCGCTACTGTAGCACCATGTGACGTCACTGAGTGCCTTGAATTTGTAATGAGCGTTTTCGGCCAACTAGCAGCAGTTCTACAAACACAGCACCGTATCTCCAAAACTATTAATCGCAGACATGCTGTTACTTCGACATTATTTCTCAGAAGTTAATGGACTATTTATTTATGAAATAAAAAAAAAGTTGTCAACTAGCCTATTCCTTGGGCGAGGTACAACCCAGCCCCTTTTATTATATTATATTTACGAAACATCTTATAATCACTTTGCTCACCGACCATAAAATGCTGTCTATTTGGGCATTGTCGTCTCTATTTTGTATCTGTGGAATAACCAAAGACAGTGCGAATAAATAAGTTGAAAGAACCGGTCGCGTTTGTATTAAAAATAACCTACAAACCAAAGTGAACCTTATCTCGAAGAAAACATGGTCCTTCGAGCCGGATGAATGACAGTGACAAATAAAAAAAAGGTTCATTTGGAAAAAATCTATGTAATTGGAGCGAAATAATGTTTAATGCATAGTGGAATGTGGACGATTCATTGAACAATAATACAATACAAATAAATCACAGCGAAATAACTATAAGGATTGAGAAATTCAGTGTATTATAGTGAATTTTCAAAAACATTTATGCGTAGTTCATCATGGCGGCCATTGAACAGTAAGAAACAGCATTTTTTATCAAGGACAATCGTGTTGTTTGATAAATGGCAGTGTTCATAATGTAAACAAGTGGACAATTTCGAGCATTACGAGTACGTTGCGCTTAAGTATATCGTGCGAGTTACGACAAGTAAAAAGTGAACAAAGGAACTGATTTCTAGTAGTCTATCTATACACGTAGTGTTTTTCGACGTAATTCAAGATATTATTTGTTAACAAGTACAATGGAGGGAGTCGAAAAACGTATGGTAATTCAAGCAGACGCGTTAGAAAAGTTAAACAAAGCGTATGCTAACTACAAAAAGTCGCCGAAAGAAAGACTTAGCGTAGGTTATGTAAAAGGCAGATTGGAGACTCTAGAATCGTATTGGAAAGAATTTAACATTGTTCACGATAAATTATTATGCTCTGTCCCTAAAGAAGAACGTTCTACGTTGAATTATTTCGCCGACGACGTGTTCAATGATTTTGAAGAAATGTATTACACATATAAAGGTGATATGAAATGCAGGTTGGATGTATTAATTCCCGATAAATGTGAAATACAAGAGGTATGTAAATCAAGCAAAATTAGTGACGTTAAATTGCCACATATTTCACTGCCTTCTTTCAATGGGAACTATACTGAATGGCAATCCTTTCATGATTTATTTGTGGCGCTAGTACATAAAAACGATTCACTAGAGAATGTTCAAAAACTTCACTACTTGAAGGGAAGTTTAGTGGGAGATGCTGAAGTATTACTACGCCAATTTCCCATCACTGCTGAAAATTACAATGAGGCATGGTCAGTACTAAAAAAACGTTACGCTAACAAGAGGTATATAGCAAATTGTATATTCAAGAAGTTTTTTACACAAAAGGCATTAACACATGAATCTGCTACAGGTATAAGACAACTATTGGATACTTCAGTAGAATGTATGAGTGCTTTGAAACAACTAGGCTTACCAACTACTCAGTGGGATGCAATTGTGAATTTCATCGTGGTATCGAGACTAGATGCTGCCACTCATAAACAATGGGAAGAAGTGATTAGTAGTGATGAGTCAGATGACCTACCTAGCTTTGACAGACTGAAGTTATTCTTAGAAACAAGGTTTCGCACATTGGAGATGGTGGAGCCTGCAAGTAAAGGTTACAAACCTGTTAAGCCTAAGACATTTCATGTTGCTAGTCGAGAATTGAAATGCGCCCTCTGCTATGAAAATCATTACCTATACCAGTGCAAGCAGTTCTCAAAGCAATCAGTAGATGACCGTTACAGTTTTGTGCAGAAAAATAAACTATGTTTCAACTGCCTCATACCAAATCATTCAGTATTCAAGTGTAGACAAAAAACCACATGCCAGATCTGCAAAAGAAAACATCACTCATTATTACATCGAGAAAAACAAGCAAATGATCAAACGCATACATCTGAAGATACAAACAACAACAACGACAATAAAGAAGTAGCACAGACAATGGTGTCTGCACACACTTTGGGTGTGTCACAACCTGGTGGAGATGGAGACATCCTGCTGGCGACGGCGCTGGTGCCGGTGGTGGCCGCGTCGAGGCAGGTGCTGGTGCTGCGCGCGCTTCTGGACCAGGGTTCAGAGGCTTCCTTCGTCACTGCGCGAGCGGTGGAGTTGCTTGGTTTGAAGAAAACCACTGTCAGCGGAGTAGTCTCTGGTGTTGGTGAAGACAACCAGACAGCCATCAAACATATGGTAGGATTATGCGTTAAATCCAGGTACGAAACAAATTTTATTATGAATGTAAATGCTTTCATATTAAAGTCATTAACGCGTAAGCTGCCAGCTAGAGTAGTCAAAGGTTTTGAATGGCCTCAACTTGAGGATATGAAGTTAGCCGACCCAACATTTAATGTTCCAAGTAGGATAGATATTCTTCTTGGTGCTGATGTGTTTGGAGAAATTATAGACGTAGGTTTATTGAAGGGACCAGGCAACGTAGTTGCACAAAAGACACACCTGGGTTGGATTTTATCAGGCGACACTAATCCTTCATTTAATGTTCCACAGCATATCACAAGTCTGCATATCACTAGACAAGTTCAAGAAGACAACAATCTGCTCAAGAAATTTTGGGAAGTAGAAACAGAACTATACAGCAAACAGAAAATGTGGACTAAAGAAGAGGAAAGATGCGAGGAAATATATCAAGAAACAACAAGAAGAAATGAAGACGGGCGGTATGTAGTTCAATTGCCTCTTAAGACAAGCTTTGAAGACACAGTGAATCTATGTGGAAATACTAAGCTGCAAGCTGTTATTAGATTACAGCAATTGGAAAGAAGATTTGCTAAAGATAGCAACCTCAAAGCAGAATACAAGAAAGTTATACATGAATACAAGCAATTAGGTCATATGAAGAAAGCTGAAAAAGAGGAAGAAGGTAATTCAGTCTACCTAGCACATCATGCTGTAATCAGAGAGGACAAGGAGACATCCAAGGTACGAGTTGTGTTTGACGCATCTGCTAAAGGGTCAAACGGATGCTCCTTAAACAGCAGTATGATGACAGGACCCACTATACAACCAGATCTACGCAGCCTTATATTTAGATGGAGAATGCATAAAATCTGTGTTGTGGGCGATATCATTAAAATGTATCGTCAAGTAAAAATGGACGACAAACACACAGATTTACAGAGAATAGTTTGGAGAGATAATGAACAAGACAAAATAGAAAGTTATAAATTACTTACAGTGACATTTGGAACAACAGCTGCGCCTTACCTGGCTGTAAGAACCCTTCAGCGCTTGGCTGATGACGAAGAAGAGAAGTATCCTCGAGGAGCAGCTGTAGTAAGAAATTCATTTTACATGGATGACCTTATGACGGGTCATGAAGATGTTCACGAACTGAAGCAAGTCTGTC